ACAATTTACTCAACAAATGTCTATAACCTTCCTTAATCGAAAACAATGCATCCTATTCTAAAGTTTTTGTAGCTTCTGTCAAACATTTTCAGTGATATTTATTTGTATATTTTTGCACACTAGACAGTTTCCGCTTTCTAACAAAAGAAAAATAAAATCTCTAAGACATTCCATTACAGCGCTGCATCAAAAATAAAATTAATGCACAATTTTTGCTTCACTCGTTAGAAAAACTTCAGATATTATGTGTATATTTAAAATCATGCTTTTTTAAAACATATCTCGTAATACTATCGATCAAATTTACACTGGAATTCTTCTACAATGCATAACAAAATGTTGAACTCTAAAATAGACGTTAGACTAGTGCCAGTGTGCACTAACTATACTGAGTCGGTAACGTCAGTAGTCACTAAGCTGAAACTGCACAAATGGACTTTTACTTATCTCAATTAGTATTTAATCAATGTATAAAACAGTTTCAACGAAATCATCAATAAAAAAATCTCTTCATTTTACTTTTTCTTATTCCATTATCTACTATGACGAAGTAAGATCAAGCCTATTTCTGTACCATTCATCTTACTGTTTCTGTTACGAGTCGGCCAGATCCCAGTTCATGGTTCAGTTCCTGAAATGGAGCTCTCTATAAAATTTTGTTCTTTTTTGAGAACAACATTTCAGTAGCAGAACAAAAGGTTTTTAAAACTCAAAAGTACCTTTCTCAAAAAGCCGTTTATACAATCCCTGCGGGCGTAAAATATGAAACACCATATAGCTGTTCTTGCTAATTAGAGAAAGATTTTTTTACTCTATCTATTTTGGGGCCACATTTACTTACTATGCTTCTTCTTCTAGATCGTGTTTCACAAAATAGAACAACAAATGTTCGAACAATTCTTGCCGACCTCTAGTTTTCGTGCATGAATGCTTAATCCACTAATATTTCGCAAAGTTGCCATTAGATTCAAAAGAAATTGAAGGTAAGTAAACATAAATTATTATCTATTTCAACATAAAATGAACTCAGTTGTTTATTGAATAACTCGGCAACGTTAATAACTATCGAGCTCGGATTTTCACTGTTACAAAAAGGATGGCAGGGAGGGTACAAATCTACCTGAGAATCAAAAGACTAGGAAAGTTTTTTACAGAATTTCAAGAAGTTTCTAGAAAACCATTGTCTGATTTCTTTGATCAGATATATTTTCAATTTCAATTTTGCCATATTGTAGCCCAATGTCTCCTCTATAAAGTCCGAAATTTTCAGGAGTTTTCGACCTTTCGTTACGAAATTATAACCATTTTACTGAATTATCGACTCCTTCGTAGGTGTTTCATGAGAAGTCAAATTATAGAATTTCGGTCTAAGAATTTGCCCATAGAATATTCTCAAAGTTTTAGCCAAAAAGGATATTCCTTTCTCGAGATATTGGATTTTCAAATAAAATTGAAAATACACCTAATCAATCGAATCAGACGGTGATTTTCTAGAAAACTTTTCAAGTATTTTGATGTTCAGATAGACTTGTACTTCATTCATCATTTTTTTAACGATGAAAACCCCAGTTCGATAGCTATCGGCGTTGTCGAGTTATTCAACAAACAACCGAGTCCATTTTATTTTGAAACGGATAATAGTTTATATAATATTCGACTAATATCAAATGAGAGAAAAAGAGTATTTATGATAAGGAAAAAAAAAAGTAAATTAAAATTCCCATTTACCGTCCTTGACACCACGAATAACGATACGCATTGTTGTCGCTAAAAGCAAAGCAGCAAATGCCCAAAACCAGAAACCAAGTTGTGGTAATCGATGCCAATTTCGATGAACTTTTACAAGTGATTCTAAGCTAGCTGTTTTTTTCGAATTATAAGGTGGATTACGTTTAGCAAGAAGAAATTCCGACCATGTAGGTGAATAAGCAACTGAACGATGATGACTAAAT